GCCGTCGTCGCGCCGACGACGGTGAAGCGCCTCGACGCGGCCATCGCCGTCGACGAGGCGGGCCGCGCGCCCGCGGGCGCCGGGTCGCCGCTCGCGGCGGCCGCGGAGCTCCGGGCCGCCGCGACGCGCGCGGCCGAGCGCCTCGAGGCCGCGGTCGGCCGCGCGCGCGCCGCCGGCGGCGCGGCGCAGGGGGCCACGGTCGCCGGCGCGACGGCGGCGGCGGCGGCCGTCGCGGACCTCGAACGCGTCGTCGAGGCGACGCGGGAGGTGCTGCGGACCGTGGGCGAGGACGCGGTCGTCGAGAGCGCGCTCCTCGCCGACGCCGCGGCGCTCGCCGAGGAGCTCGAGGCCGAGGCGGCGGCGCGCGCGACGGCGGCGTTCCGCCTCGCGGCGGCCCTCGACGCGCTCGCCGCGTCGCTGAGGTCCGGCGACGCGACGGTCGCGGACCCGGCGCCCGCCGCCTATTCCGTCCACGCGTGCAAGGAGGTGATCCGCTCCGGCGGCCTGAGCTACGGCGACTGCTTCGAGAAGCGGGACCTGCTCGCGCGGAGCTTGGAGGCGCGGAAGGTGTTGAAGGTCGAGCGGGAGACGTCGCGCGCGGCCGACGCCGCGCGGCTGTTCCGCGCGAGCCGCGAGGCCCTCGCGGCGCTGCGGGGCGTCCTCGCGGCGGTGGCGCCGGGCATTCTGGGCGCGGACGTGCCCGTGGTGCTGCGCGCGGAGGAGGCCGCGGCGCGCGCGCGCGCGTCTCGCGCGGCGACGGCCGCGCGGAGGCTCCGGTGCTACGTCCGGTCGCTCGCGCTCAACTCGCTGCTCGCCAAGGCCAAGGTCGAGGCCCGGAGGCTCGTGGACGACGGCGCGCCCCGGGCCCTCGAGGCCTACCTCGCGTCGCTGGGCGAGACGGCGCCGACGCTGGCGAAATTGGCGGACGTGCGCTTCGGCGGCGGGGACCGCTACGGCGGGCTCCTGCACGTCGCCTGCCGGTCCGGGTCCGCGGCCTGCGTCGCGCCCCTGGCGAAGCGCCTCGGCCCGCGCTTCGACGCCGCGACGTACGTCAACGGCGACGGCAACACGGCGCTGCACAGTGTGGAAACCAACCACTGGTTTGGGGCGTCCCCACCAAACTTCAGAACTCTCTAGCTCGGTCAAATCGAGGTTGATTCGGCTGATTTTTGGACGAGTCGATTGCTCTCCTCGAGTTCTCGAAGCACGGCCGAAGAGCTCGCGTCGAAACGGTCGCATACGCGCACATTGAAGTCGGGTTGAAGATTTGAATTCCACGCAGGCGCTGCACCTCGCGGCGCTCGCGGATTCGCTCGACTCCGCGCGGCAGCTCCTGGGCCTCTACGCGGCCGTCGGCGACGGCGACTTCGTCGCCGCGTCGCCGAACGCGAAGCCGGACGCGGCCCCGGCGCCGGAGGCGGGCGTCGTCTGCGAGGGCCCGCTGGAGAAGCGCCGCGAGACGGACCGCTGGCTGCGGCGGTGGGTCAAGCTCACGGCCGCGCCGAGCCTCGAGTACTACGGCGGCAAACCCAAGGAGGGCGCGACGCCGAGCTTCTCCGTGCCCCTGGCGCGGGCCATGGCGAAGCGGAGTCGGACGGACCTCTTCTACGACGAGGTGCCCTTCGGCTTCGAGATCCACTCGCCGGACCTGCTCAAGGGCAAGAACCGGGAGGGCCGCCTCTTCTTCAAGGCCGAGTCCGAGGCGGACCTGCAGGCCTGGCTCCTGGGGCTGAGCACCGTCTTCGGCGCGTCCGCGTCGGGCGCGCGCCGCGCGGCCGCCGCGCCGCCGCTCAAGCGCGTCGACGCCGCGGGGCGCCGCGAGCTCGCGAGCGCGGCGAACGCCCACGGCTCGACGGCGCTCCATCTATTGTGCAAGTCGTCGGCGACGGCGCCGCCGGCGGCGCGGCGCCGCGCGCGCACGGGCCACGAGGCCGTCGAGCGGGGATTACGACGGGACGACGCGCGCGTCTTCTTCGCGGTGCTGCTCGTCGAGTGCGGCGCGCCCGTGGACCCCCTGGACCTCAACAAAGCGACGCCCCTCGAGCTCGCCTGCGCCGGGGGGCAGGTCGACGTCGCGGCTGCGCTGAGCCGCCGGGGCGCGGACGCGACGCGCGGCTTCGACAGCCTCGGCCGCGACTCGCAGATCGACGCCCTGCTGACGAAGAACCGCGCCGTCGCGGGCCTCGCGCCGGTGCTGCCGCCGCCGTGTCCCCGCGTGCCGGGCCTGCGCTACGCGACGATCTTGCTCGAAAAGGTCGCGTTCGCGCCGTCGGCGTCGATCGTCCCCGCGGAGCCCCTCATCGAGTTCGCCGTCGTCGACGCCGGCGGCGCCGTCATCGAGGCCGTCCAGGCGCTGCCCGCGCCCTGCCTCGTGCGCGACACCTTCGCCTGGTGGGGCGCGAGCCTGTACGTGCAGCACCCCGTCGAGAACCTGCCGGACGGCGCGCGCGCGCTCTTCACGCTCGCGGACCGCGCCGCGGCGGACCCCGCGGCCGTCGTCGCCTGGGCGACGCTCGACGTCGGGCTGGGCCACCTCGCGACGGGCAACAAGGGCCTCGAGATGTTCGCGGCGCCCGTGGATCCCGCGTTCGCGCGGCCCGTCGCGCCCCACGGCGCGTTCCTGTCGCTCGACGTGCACGTCTAGGATCTCAACATACGCTAGACGCGGATGGTGATCGCGCAGGGCGCGTCGCGGCAGGTCAGCTCCGCGTCCGCCCTGAAGGTCCAGTGGACCTCGGGCCCGTCGAGCGTCAGGTAGCGGCGGACGCTGTCTGTCGTCCCGTAGGCCTCGACGTGCGCGACGGCGGGCAGCGCCGCGAAGGCGTCGAGGGTGCCGTCCTGGACCCGCCGCAGCACCCAGGTGTCCGCCGGGCAGGCGACGGGCGCCGCGCCGTCGAGGAGCCGCCTCGCGCCCCGATGGGACACGACCATGCCGCCGATGGACGCGTGCGCGCAGCCGCCGTCCAAGCGCAGGTGCGACTCGCCGCGCCGCGCGGCGTCCACGGCCGCGGCGTGGCAGCGCGCGTGGACGCCGCCGCGGCGGACCTCCTCCGCGGCGACGTTTTCGACGTGTCCCGGCAGGCCAAAGTCCAGCGCGAGGAGATCCCACGGCTCGCCCGCGTCCTGGAGGTCCAGGATCGCCCGCGACACGACGGCGGCCGCGTCCGCCGCGAGGTGCGCGTCGTCCTCGAGCACGAGCGCGTAGGGGACGCCGCGCTCGACGACGTCGTTCCAGGCCGTCAGGTGGCTCAGGAAGATGCCGACCTCGCCCTGGCTGAGCACGGTGCCCTGCGCGACGGCCTGCACGAGGACGTTCGGCGTCAAGGACACGCCGTCGGCGCCGGGGATCCACGTCGCGGCGTCGAGCAGCCCCGCGGCGGCGAGCTGGTGGCGCGAAAAGTCCCGCCGGTGCGTCGAGCTCCAGAGGTTGAGCACGAAGGTCGGCAGCTCCCGACGCGTCGCCATGCGTCGCGCGACGGTCTCGAAGGCCGAGAGGCGCCGCGGCGGCGGCCGGCCTCCCGGGGACGCGGCGACGTCCGGCGCGCGCGCGTCCCGCGCGAGCGGCGACGGCGCCGCGAAGGCGGCGCGCTGCGCCTCGCGCGCGCGGCCGCGGACGTTCAGCTGGTCCGCGACGGCGCCGGCGACGGCCGTCGCGACGGACGCGTTGAGCGACACGGCCTCCGACGCGCGGTCGACGAAGGCCCGCGCCGCGGCGCCGGCGTCCGCGTCGCCGCGCCACTCGACGAGGAACGCCCGGTCGTCGACGAGCACGGGCAGCGCCGCGCGGAGCGGCGGCCGCGGCTCGGACGCGTGGGCCTCGACGACGGCCTCGAGCTCGCGGAACAGGGCCTCGTCGCGCCGCCGCGCGAGTATGCCCCGCGCCTCGTCGCGGAGGCCCGGGAGCGACCCGAGGCCGAGCGTGAGCAGGAACGCGCCGAAGCTGTCGTCGACGCCCAGGGACTCAAAGTAGGGCACGAGCACGGCGTTGCCTTCGACGGTGGCCGGCACGAAGACGGCCGCGTCGCCGGCGGGCAGCCGCAGGTCCAGCGGGACGCCGACGACGCGCGCGGCGACGAGGGCGGCGACGCAGCGCTTCATTTGTAGGTCCAGTGGGACGCCGACGACGCGCGCGGCGATGAGGGCGGCGACGCAGCGCTTCATTTGCGCTCACGCACGATTGATGCGAGCCCATACCATCGTGTGGCCTCAAGGTGCGAGGCCCCTGCATAACACCCACGCTGCCCCTGCAAATGCAAACAAGCGGGATGCGCGTGCTCCGACAAGCTCGGGCTGCTGCCGACGCGCTCACCCCGCGCCCGCACGCTCAGAAGGTCCCCGCGATGAAGCTCCTGGCCCTCGCCCTCCTCGCCCCCGCGGCGGCGTCGGGCCCGCCGGACGGCACCGACGCCGTGGCCCTGTCGCGCTGGATGGCCGCGAAGCTCACCTGGGGCACGCTGTCGACGACGTCGACGCGCTCCAACGGGAGCCAGGTCGGCGACGCCTTCGGGAATCCCTACTCGTTCGCCGACGTCGGCGGCGTGCCCTACATCTACGCGTCGAACCTCGACGCGAGCGCCATCGACCTCTTCACGGCGCCCGACGCGAGCCCGATCCAGGGCGGCAAAAGAGAGCGACATTCGCCGGTTTTCCACTCGTTTCGGCTGATTTTTGGACGAGCGATCATCTCTCGGAACGGCCTCGACGCGTGGATGCTTTTTCCGGAACGCGCGCGCGCGGAACACTCACGTTGAAGCGACGTTGAATCACCCTTTTGCCGCCCAGGCCCGATCGGCTCGCTCGCGCTCTCGGAGGCGACGCTCCCGAACACGGGCCTCGCGACGAACGCCACGGACGCGGCCTGCGTCGTCGGCGCGTCGACCTTCGGGGACCCCGAGAATCCCCCCTGCGCGCGCCTCGTCCTCACGGGCGCGTGGTCGAAGCCCGCGGCCGGCTCGGACGAGTACGAGGAAGCCTACGCGGCGCTCGAGGAGCGCCACCCCTACTTCAAGGAGCTGCCCAGCGACCACGACTTCTACGTCGCCAAGATGACCGTGACGGGCGTCTGGCTCATCGGCGCCTACGGCGGCGCGTCCGTCGTCGAACCGGAGGAGTACTTCGCGGCGCCCGAGCCGGAACGCGCCGCTCAAGTCGCCGCCGCGGCGCCCGCGCCGCTCACGGCGCGGCCCTGGTTCTGGAACCACGTCGCCGTCGCGCGCTGGATGGCCGAGACCCTGGACTGGGGGGTCCTGTCGACGACGTCGACGCGGACCGAGGGCACGGCCGTCGGCGACGCGTTCGGCAACCCGTACTCCTTCGCGGAGGTCGGCGGCGTCCCCTACTTCTACGGCTCGACGCTCGACGCGTCCATGACCGACGCCTTCGCGGGCGCCGGCGCGAGCCCCCGCGCGTCCTTGTCGCTCTCGGAGGCGGAGCTCTCGGGCGACGACGAGCTCTCGAGCTGCCGCATCGGCGCCATCCTCGGCGACCCGGAGAACCCGCCCTGCGCGCGCCTCGTGCTCTCGGGCGCGCTCGTCAACGTCTCGGGCACGCCCGAGGGCGCCGCGGCGTGGGCCGCGCTCGTCGCGAAGCACCCGTCCTTCGCCGACTACCCGGCCAGCCACGACTTCTTCGTCTCCAAGCTCGACGTCGACGCGCTCTTCTTCATCGACATGTTCGGCGGCGCCGACTACCTCGACCCGGCCGCCTACCTCGCGAACTCGACGACCGCGTAGGCCCCCCGGGTTCCCGCGGCCGCCCGGCTCCGTCGGCGCGCGCGAACCGCCATCTTAGGACACGCGCGCGAAAGCTCGCTCTCTCTCTCTCTCGCGCGCGCATGTGGCGACACACGCCGCGAGCCCTCCCCTGGCGCGGCCGGAGGCCAGGCGCAAAAGACCCCCGGTCGGGCTATCAGAACGGCGCCGTCTACGAGTTCGAGTGCATCGTCTCCGCCCGTGTCGAAACGAAACATCTCCGGAAATCACCCGCGAATACCCCTCCCCCCTCGTCCTGCGCGAGCCTAAGGCACACTTACGCCTCCTCCGGCGAGCGTCGCGGCCTCCGCCGCTTCGCGCGCTCTTCGAGGAAGTCGGAGAAGGCCACCTTTGGGCGCCTCTTCTCCAGCGCGGGCGCGACGAGCTTCCGCAAGGCGAGGACCCAGAGCACGGCGAGCACGGCGCCCGCCCAGTTGTAGAGCACCGTCGCGAAGGACGAGTAGACGGGCGCGTTCGGATCGACGCCGCAGTACGCGATGAGGTAGGCGCCCAACCCATTCGACACGACCATGATGGCCCCGAGGCCCGCGAGCCCGACGCGCGCGACGTCGTCGACGTACGGGTTCGCGAGGACGTAGTCCTCGTCGAAGCCCAGCGCCACGGCCGGCCGCGCCGCGGCCGCGGCGAACGCGAGGACGAGCAGCGCCGTCGCGAACCCGCTCACGACGCCGTTCCACGTCACGAGCCACGCGCGGCGTTTCTTCGTGCGCAGCGACGCGTAGGCGACGACCAGGACGACGCAGTTCGCGAAGGCCAGCGTCGTCAGCGGGTGCGGCGCCGCCTTGGCCTGGAAGAAGCGCTGGTAGGCGTAGTGCGACGCGGAGACGACGATGCCGTAGGCGAAGATGGCGACGTCGCCGAATTCGTAGTAGAGCGCCCAGCCGGTCGCCGCGACGGCGACGGCGACGGCGAGCGCGCGGCAGGTATCGCGGCGCCGCGCCGCCTGCTCCTCCGGGTCGACGGGCACCTCCTCGTTGTCGTAGACGGCGCGCAGCGCCGCGAGCTCCGCCGCGTCGGCATCCGCGGGCTTGATCGGCTCGAGGAGCGACGACGCCTCCGAATGCATCGCTGCGGGCTGCTGTCCACGGTCGTTCTACCCGCTCCCTCACGCCGAGCCCGCGCGCGCTGCGACGCGCTTACCCATTCTTAAAAATGGGCTCGTCATTCCTTGTGGATGGCAGCCATGGCAGCCCGCCGGCTAATGTCACGGTTGCACTGCACGCCGAGTTCAGCTTGGGACGAGCAGGCTCGCTTAGAAAGCAAAAAGGCGGTCTCGTAAAAAAACAAAAAAAAGACGCGCGCGCGCGCGGCTTCGCACGCGCCGCGCGAAGAGACCGCGCTCAGCGGCGCTGCTTGAGGCAGGAGCCCGGGCCCGGCGGCGCGGACCGCGCCTCGGCGTTGTAGACGGGCGCGGCGCGGACGCCGCGGGCGTTGAGGCGGCAGCGGAACTCCGCGAGGCGGGGGAGCATGTCGGCGGGCGTCGGGATGGTGGCGGCCTCGGGCGACCAGAGCTTCTCCGCGATGGCCCCGAGCCGCGGCCAGACCGTGCCGTCGATGTCCGACGCGTCGACCGTCTCGCCCCACCTACCAAGCATGACGGTGTCACATTGTTTCCCACCCCAAAAGGACCAAATCTCTCGAACATCGTCACGGCCACAGGACGCTGCGCCTTCACATCTCTCCGTGGCCGCCGAGCACGTGCGCCGCGCAGAGGTCCGCGGGGATGCCGTCGCAGGGCTCGTTGCCGTAGACCGCCGAGCTGTTGACGTTCAAATTGTCGAGGTACCAGGACGTCGCGTCGTAGCCGACGTTGCGGATGACGTCGTAGCCCGCGGCGACGACGTCCGCGACGTTCGTGACGGACTTCCAGACGTGGATGACGACGTCCCTGGGCAGGTCCGTCTTGAAGTGGTCCCAGACCTCGGACCACTGCACGGGGCGCCGCTTCTTGGCGATGGCCAGGTCCGCGACGGTCTTGACGAAGTGCGCGTAGCCGCCGTCGGCCGTGAGATTCCGGGCTTTGAGCCACGCGGCGACGGAGGGCGTCGACTCCCAGCAGGCCGTGTTGACCTCGTCGCCGCCCAGGTGGACGAAGCCGTCGGGGAACAGCCCGCCCGCGAGCTCGTCGAGCAGCCCGGAGATGGCGTCGAAGGTCGCGGCCTTGGACACGTCGAGCGGCGACGCGCAGGTCTCGGACGGGCACAGGTCCGGGCGGCCGACGCACCAGCTGTCGGCGTGGCCGGGCATGTCGAACTCGGGGATCACGCGGACGCCGCGGAGGCGCGCGCGCTCGACGACGTCGGCGACGTCCGCCTGCGTGTAGCGCTCCCGCGGCGAGAACGCGCCCCGCCAGAGCTCGGGCATCGACTTCGACTCGAACGGGAAGGACTGCGCGTCGACGAGGTGCCAGTGGAGCACGTTGATCTTCGCGTAGGGCAGGGCGTCGACGACCTCGAAGATGGAGGCCAGGGGCTGGAAGTGGCGGCCCGTGTCGATCATGAGGCCCCGGTGCGGGAACCGCGGCGCGTCCTCGACGGCGCCGGCGGCGGCCTCGTAGCTGCCGGCGTCGAAGTCGAAGGACACGAGCTGGCTGAAGGTCTCCAGGCCCCGGAGCGCGCCCCAGACCGTCGCGGCCTCGAGCGTCGCGGCGGTCGCACCGATCGACAGCGCGTAGCTCTCGTCGTCGCCGAGCTGCGGCGCGCCCTCGGCGACGTCGACGACGCGCACGGCGAGCGACGCGAGCGCGGCGCCGTCCGCCGCCGCGCGGTGCGGGAAGACGAGGCCCGCGTAGCGCTCGAAGGCCGCCTCGAGCAGCGGCGACGTGCCGTTCAGTTTGAAGAAGGCCGCGCCGCCGGGCTGGACTTTCACGCTGGCGCCCGAGAGGCTGATGGACTTGGGCGCGGGCCAGACGGCCGCGGCGGTTGCCAAGAGCGGGAGGAGGCGGAGCATGATTGAGCACGACGCTCGAGCTCTTTTGAGAAGCCACTCGAGTGGATGTGGCAGAACGATTGGCAACTCTCTGAAAGCTTGACGCTCAACATCGCCCTCGGGCAGCCTCTTCGCGTGATCTTCGGGCAGCCTCTTCGCGCGTTCCCGATGCCCAGCAAAACCAAAGCAACCCAGCCAGCTAGCTCCACGACTCCCACACCTCGCAAAGCGACCATGCCCGCCACGTTGCACGTCTTCGACTTCTCGACCCTCCTCGGCGACGAGCTCCTCTCCAAGGACGGCCCCCGGCCCACGGCCAGCGCCCTCAAGGACGTCGACGTCGTCGCCCTCTACTTCTCCGCCCACTGGTGCCCGCCCTGCCGGGGCTTCACGCCCCAGCTGGGCGCGTTCTACGAGCGGCACAAGGCCGCGAAGAACTTCGAGCTGGTCTTCGTCTCGAGCGACAAGTCGGAGGACGAGTTCGCGTCCTACTACGGCGAGCAGGCGCCGTGGCTCGCGTTGCCGTACGCCAACCGCGCCGCGAAGAACGCGCTCAATAAGAAGTACAAGGTCTCGGGCATCCCGACGCTCGTGCTCCTCGACGCGAAGACGGGCGCTTTGATCACGTCCGACGGCCGCTCCGACGTCGCGAACGACCCGGAAGCCGCCAAGTTCCCCTGGAAGCCGCCGACGCTGCGCGAGACCCTCGCGGGCCTGCCGCCCCTGGCGACCAAGAAGGGGCCCAAGACCGTCGAGGTCGCCGACGTCGCCGGCCCGCTCCTGGTCTACTTCTCCGCGCACTGGTGCCCGCCGTGCCGCGGCTTCACGCCGCAACTCGTCGCCTTCTTCTCCGAGCTCAAGGCGGCCCACCCCGACGCGTCCATTGTGTTCGTCTCGAGCGACAAGGGCGAGGCCGAGTTCGACGCCTACTTTGCGGAGATGGGCGACGACTGGTACGCGTTGCCCTACGCGGCGCGCGACGACAAGGCCGCGCTCTCGAAGCACTTCGACGTCTCGGGCATCCCGAGCCTCGTGCTCCTCTCGGCGCCCGGTGCCGACGGAAACCGTGACGTCGTGACGACGTCCGCGCGGGGGCTCGTGGCCGAGGCGGTCGTCGAGGGCTTCCCCGAGAGCTGGAAGCCGAAGCCCTACGCGGACCTGTCCAAGGGCGTCGAGTGCAACGGCTCCGACGTCAACGAGACCCGGTCGCTCGTCGTGCTCGCCGACGGCATGGACGACAGCGCCGGCGCCGTCGCGGCGCTCAAGGAGGCGGCGGCGAAGGCGGAGGCGGGCCGGTCGGGCGACGTCGACGCGCTCTACTTCTTCGCGCCAAAGACCGAGGGGCCCGTGGCCCAGGTGCGCAAGCTCTGCGGCCTGCCCGCGGCCGCGCCCAAGGAGCCCCGGCTCCTCCTCCTCGACATCCCGGACGGCGGCGCCTACTACGTCGCGGACGCCGCGGCCGTGACCGCGGACGCGATCGCCGCGTTCCTCGCGGCCCCGGGCGCGCGCCGGCAGCTCGCGTGAGCCCCGAGGCGACGAGCGCCGCGCCGGCAGAGTACAGTCCTAGTTCCTACGAGATCCGGGCCGGGCGAGCGACGCGACGCGCGGGGGCCCCGCGGCCCCCCGAATTGGGAAAAACTGGCGCTAGGAGATGACGCAGCACCTCCGGTTGCCGCCGGCCGACGGCTCCTCGCCGTCGGCCGTGCCCTGGCCCTGCCGGAGCTGCTGCCGCCGCGCCACCTCGCGGTCCTTGCTGTGCGGCGAGTAGTGCAGCTCCTCCGCGTAGTGGACCTCGATGAGGCCGCCGCCGACCTCGTCGTTTCAGGACAGCGACTTGCCCCCCGCCGACGGCGCGCGTATCCGGCTCTCCGACGGCAGCTTCAGGATGGACCGCGCCTCGCCCTCGTCGGTCTCCTGCGGGCGCGCGCGGCCGCCGTCCGACGCCCCCGGCGTCGTCGCCCCCGGCGCGCGCCCCCGCGCGCGCGCGCGCGGCCCCGGCGGCCCGCCGCCCCCCGGCGGCGTCCCGCGGCGCGGCGCGCACCTTGGCCTCGGCTCCGTTGCTGCTCGAGCTCATGAGCATCTCCATGGGGTCTCGGCGGGGCGCCCGGGGGCGCCGCCGCGACGTCCGCGCCGCGCCGGCGCGCGCGCGAGGTCCGCGGAAGCGGCGAGCGCGGCAGCACCGACGAGCACGCGCCGCGAGCTCGGCCGCGCTCAGGTGATCACCAGCCAGCCGAGCAGCTCCGGTTTTTGCCGAGCGCCCGAGCGCCGCGATGCTTCCCTCAAGTAACTTAGTTTACCCTCGACGCCTCCGCCGCGTTGCAGCCCGCGCCCGCGAGGAAGGCGACGCTCCCCGTTTAACTTTACCCTCGCCACCTCGCCGCGGCCGCGTTGCAGCCCGCGCCCGCGAGGAAGGCGGCGACGAGGAGGGCGGCGTGGCGCGCGCCGTCCCCGGTCGGCGCCGCGGCGACCGGCGCGGGGCTCGGCGCGGGGCTCGGCGCGGGGCTCGGCGCGGGGCGCGGCGCGGCCGTCGGCGCCGCGGTCGGCGCCCCGACGGGCCGCGCGGTCGCCTCGTCGACGCCTTCGCAGGCGAGCTGCGTGCCCGCGCGGCGGAGGCGCCGGCGCGCGTCGGCGGCCGCGTAGCGGGGCAGCAGGTCGCCGAAGCAGTCGAAGTCCGTCGCGTACAACGCCGATACTTTCGCCTCCGCCGCCGCCGCGTCGTCGCCGAGGTCGCAGCGCTGGACGCCCCAGGCCTGGAGCTCGTGGGCGCGGACGTAGTCCAGGGCCTTGTGCTGCTCCTTGCGGGAGCCGCCGCGCTGCTTCTCCGCGTCCTGCTTCTCGCCGTCGAAGAGCCACGGGTCGGGCCGGCGGCTCGCGTCGTCGAGCGACGCGTTGAGCAGCGGCGCGACGGCGGCGAGCGCGGCCATGACGTCGCCGAGCCGCTCGACGCGCCCGACGAAGTCCGCCTCGGCGGCGTAGGCGTAGCGGCTCGCGGGCTGGAAGTGGCGGTACTCGATGCCGTCGGGCTCGCGCGCGGCGTCGGGCACGTTCGGCTCGAGGCACCGGAGCCAGCGGAGGAACGCGAGGCGCCGCGCGTCGTCGCCGGGCGTCGACCCCTTCGCGTAGGCGAGGCGCTCGTCGGCCGTGAGCGGGTACGAGCCCTTGGCGCAGACCGCCTCGAGCTTGCTCCGCGCGTCGCCGATGAGGTGGTTGTACTGCGCGAGCGCGCGGTCCAGGGGCTCGCGGACGAGGAGGACGACGGTCATGTTCTTCCGCACCTTGCCGTCGTCGCCGCACATGACGACCTCGCGGTCGCCCGGCGCCCGCGTCGGCGCGCAGCCGTAGGCCCGCGCGAACATCTCCTTCGCGTACTTGCCGCCGGCCTTGTGGGGCGTCACGACGGCGAGCTCCGCGCGGTACGTCGCGTAGCGCTGGAAGAGGTCGTCGGTGGCGGCCTTGCGCGTGAAGTTCGCGCGGGCGCAGCGCGCGACGCGGCACCGCCGCGCGTCCGCATCGCTGCGTCGCGCGATGGCCGGGATGCGCGCGGGCGGCGGCGGCGGCGCGCAGGCCTTCTCCTCCGCGGACCGGTTCGCCGCGTAGCCCGTGAGCCGCTCGAGGCGCTTGGCCTTTACCGCGCAGGCCGCGCCGGCGTCGAGGCAGAGCCGCTGCGGGTGGCATCTCTCGACGCCGGCGGTCCAGGCGCAGGCGACGCCGCACTTGGCGTCGCTGCAGTTCGGCGCCGGCTTCGCGGCGACGGCGACCGCGAGGAGCAAGAGCAGCATCACGGCGCGACGATCGAGGCGACGAGCATACTACGCGTCATCATCGTGGGGCTGCCTCCAACAATGCGGCACCTTTGGCAAAAGGCTTAGCGACGACTTTAATTGCACTTTTGAAGCCACAGACTCGAAGGGCTGCCTCGTCGCGCGCGCCGTCGGCGCCATGAGCAAGCCCGATTTCATCAAAGACCTGCAGGAGCGACGCGCCTTTGGGCTCATATCGGAGAAGGACGCGATGCGCGCGGGCTATAGGCACGCGCTGAAGACGGGCATGCCGATCGTCACCATGAGCTTCACGGCCAGCGGCCCCGTCGGGCCCGGCCTGCCGCACCCCGAGGGCGTCCCGATCAATTTTGCGCTGAAGCAGGCCGCGACGATGGAGTTCCAGGGCCGCGCGCCCCCGTCGGACGCCCGCGACGGCCGGGGCAACTTCAAGGGCGAGGCGGCGTACCGCGCGTACCACGAGGACCTCGTCGCGGACCGGGCGACGTGGGAGCCCTTCTTCGACGAGCCCATGCATTCCGAGCACGCGGAGCACACCTGCGGCATCCTCGGCACGCTGGCGACGCTCCTGCGGCAGCGCGGCTCGCTGGAGGAGTGCGAGACGGTCCTCGACTGCGAGGCCTGGGTCATCGCGATCTACGGGCGGCACTGCCGGGCGGGCAACTCGCGCGCGGCGCTCCGCTGCCACGACGGGCTGAACTACAAATACATGATCATCCGGACGAACCTCTACGGGCAGCAGGGGCGCTTCCGCGAGTGCGTGCCGCTCTTCCGCGCGCTCTGCCACCACGAGCTCGACTACGACGTCCAGAACGACATGTACCTCTGGCTCATCTTCGCCGTCTTGCACAAGAGGCCCGCGAAGAAGACGGTGGACCGGATGACCGACGACGAGTGCGTCCGCTGCGTCCGCAGGCCCTTCGACGCGGCGGGGAAGGCCTTCCACGAGCAGGAGAACAAGCAACCGAAAGTCACCCTCGCGACCTGCGCCGCCTGCGGGAGCACGGAGCCGGCGCTCTGCACCTTTGCGCGCTGCGCGGGCTGCAAGAAGGTGTCCTATTGCGGCCCCGAGTGCCAGAAGACCCACTGGAAGGCCCACAAGAAAGCGTGCAAGGCGTTCCGGGCCGGGAAGAAGTAGCGTGCGTGACGTTAGATTCCTCGAAAAAGGGGGGGGGTAGTGCGAACGATGGGGTTTCCGCCGCCGCTCAGGCGCGGAGCACGCAACTCCGCGCGCAGTCGGGCTCGGTCCAGGGCAGCGACGAGCAGCCGCGGGCCGCGGGCCCCTCGACGCAGGCGCTGAGGCCCAGCGGGCAGAGCGCGGCGATCTCGACGTCGCGCGGTGCGACGCAGGCCGCCTCGGCCTCGAGCCCCGCGTCCCCGTCGCCCGCGTCGCCCGTCGGCGCGCGCGTCGGCGACGAGTAGTCGACGCCCGGCGGCCGCGACGCGACCCAGTGGAGCAGGTTCGTCCGCGAGTGGCCGTCGCCGCCCGCGGCGAGGAACGCGCCGTCGGGCAGCGCTTTGGCCATGGCGAACGCGCGGTCGACGTCGCCCGCGTTGGCCACGGCGGCCACGAGCGAGATGGACCAGCCCTCGTCGACGCACTGGGCGTCGCAGGCCGCCTCGTAGGGCTCCAGGATGGACCGGGAGAAGGCCGCGGAGTCGCGGAGCTCCGCGTAGGGCGTCAGCGGGATGAGCTGGATGCCGATGGCGAAGGCCGGCGACGGGCCGAACCCGTGCCGAACTGGGCCATCGTCGACCAGAACATGCCGACGACGGGCCGCGTGTAGGCCGACGGCAAAGTCTCCGTGTGCCAGTAGCGCTGGGCGCCGCGGAGCTCCGTCGCGGCCAGGAGCCGCGAAAAGTCCCGCAATTCGTCGTCGCCGAGCGTCGCGCCCAAATGGTACGCGCCCTCGTAGGCGGCGACGGCCTCGGAGCTCGACTCCTGGTTGCGGCCGTTGGGGTTCGCCGGCAGGCAGACGCCCGACGCCCAGGAGCTGCCCAGGTACCAGTCCTTGTGCCGCGCGAACGAAAACGACGCGGCGGCCTGCGACGACTCCGCAAAGTCCGCCGCGAGCACGCGGATCTGGTCCAGCAGGTCCGCGTCGCAGGCCGCGTGGCGGCAGGCGACGGCGACGGCGTAGGCCCAGTAGCCGTAGTGGTAGTGGTGGTCGTTGTAGAAGCCGTTGCCGAAGTTGTTGCCGCAGCCGTCGAGGCCCGGGCAGTCGTCCGAGCCTTTGTTGCGGCACGACTCCGTCGCCTCGTCGAAGTCGCAGCCGCAGGACACCAAGCCGCCCCAGGCCTCGTCGTAGAGGAAGCGCGTCTCTTCGGACTCGGGGTCGAGGAACGCGCGCGCGGTGACCAAAATCCGCTCCGCGATTTTCGCCGCGTCGCCGCCGCGGCCGAGGTCGTGGGCGATGGCCGCGAGGCGCGCCTGCTTCGCGACCATCTTGCCCGAGAAGTAGGTGTCGCCCGCGCCCCGCGTGAAGTACGCGGGCAGCTCGAAGCCGACGTCGCGGTCGAGCGCCGCGTGGAGCGCGTCGAGCTTGTCCTCGTCGAGGGGCCGCGGCGCCGACAGCGTCGGCGCGGCGCCGAGGGGGATGTGCAAGGTCCAGGGCCCGACGACGGGGCACGCGGGCCCGTGCAGGGACGCGACGCACCGGCCGCCCGCGGCGTCCAGGTCGTGATGCGGCAGCGCGTAGCGCAGGTCCGACCCGTCGGAGAAGTCGAAGGCTACTGTTGCCGTATCGCCGTCGACGGACCAGTCCACGTCGTCGCCCTTCCAGGGCCGCGTCGGGGGCGTTGCCCGTTTCGCGGCCGCGAGGAACAGGGCCGCGTTCTTGGACGCGTCGCGCCCTTTGCCCGCCTCGTTGGGCCGGCAGGACACCGTCGACGTGCCGTAGCGGCACGCCGTCGCGAGCGCGACGCGCAGCGTCACGGTCTGCTTGCCGTCCGCGACGAAGGCGACGCCGTCGCCCGAGGCGCAGCGGAACGTCGCGGGTCGGGACGGAAAGACGAGCCACGCGTAGTCCGCGTCCGTCGTGAAGGCCAACACCTCCGCGACCTCGAAGGCGCTCCCGTCGCAGGGCACCGCGTCGCCGTCGGCCGTCACGGCGCCATCGCGGTGGAGGGGGGAATTGGACGACACGACGGGCGTCGCTTTCGCGTACGCCGCGGTCGCGAAGGCGGCCCCTCGGCTCACGGGCGCGTACATGGACCCGCCCGACGACAGGTCCCACCGGAGCCCGACGCCGAGCGCGCCGAAGCCGTCGACGACGCGGTCGCCGAGGGGCTCGTCGTCCACGGACAGGAGCACGCCCGCGTTGAGATCGTGCGATATCTGGACGACGTCCTGGCCCGCGGCGACGACGCGCGTCGCCGACGCGCGCAGGCCGCCGCCGTAGGCGTCGAAGACGTAGGGGATCGCGTAGGCGAGGCACGTCTCGTCGCAGACGCTGCCGAGCGCCAGATTCTGCCACCACGCGTTCGTCGGAAACGGCCCCCGCGAGTCGCCCCACGTCGCCGCGTCCGGCCCGCCGGACGTGCGGTGCGCCGGTCGGTAGCCCACGGCGAGCGGGTCGGGGTGGAGCGAGACGAGCGCGTTGGCCTTGGCGAGGTGGCGGCGCGCGACCCAGAAGACGAGCGCCGACAGGACGCCGGCCTGGAGCGCCACGAGGGTCCGCAGGTGGCGCCGCGCGCGGCCCTGCGCCGGCGCCGCGTCCGCCGCGACCTTTTTGGCCACCAAGGACTCGTGGTCCGGCGCGTAGCCCGCGCGGTCCCCGTGCATGTCGCCCGTGAACGCGCTCATATCGATCGTACGCCTTCTCAAATTCTGCCACTGCAACAGTGCAACATTGAAATGCCTCTTTGGGCGCGCGCCTAGGCGGACGCAGGGGCGGACGTCGGCGTCGTCGCCGGCGTACGTCGCCGCAACGATGAACCGGCGCTCGCACGAGCGTCTCGCGTCTTAACGCGCGCCCGCGGGCGGAGCCTAGGCGGGCGCGGCGGCGGCCTCCTTCTCCCCCGCGTCCTTCTTCTCGGCCTCGGCGGCGGCGGCCTGCGCCGCGGCGATGGAGTAGACCTGGACCGCGCCGTCGTCGGCGCAGGAGCAGAGCTCGCCGCCGTCGGGCGAGTAGGCGACCTCCCAGACCTGGTCCTGGTGGCCCATCATCTCGGCGACGCAGGTCTTCATGTTGAGGTCCCAGATCTTGACGGTGCGGTCGGACGAGCACGTCGCGAAGTGGCGGTTGTCCGGCGAGAAGGCGACGCCGAGGGCCCAGGACCGGTGCGCGTAGAAGGTCTCGAAGGGCTTGCCCGGCCGCGCCACGTCGTAGGCCTGGACCGTCGAGTCGTCGCACGCGCTCAGCAGCACCTGGCCGTCGGGACTCCAGGAGATGGACCGCACGGGCAGCTCGTGGCCCTCGAACTCTGCGGCCTTGTCGCCGCTCTTGGCGTCCCAGACGTTGATGGCGCCGTTGAGGCCGCCCGTGGCGATCTGCGCGCCGTCGGGCGAGTACCTGTGTGGAAATCAACCACTGGAACGCCCTGTCCAGCAAAAACTTCAAACCTCTCCATCTCGGTCAAATCGAAGTCGATTCGGCTGATTTTTAGACGGATCGATTGCTCTCATCGAGTTCTCGAAGCAGGATTGAAGAGTCTGGTCCAAACCGTTCAATTACGCGAATATTGAAGTCGGGTTGAAGGTTTGATTTCCACACAGGCGAGTACGCCACGGACATGACGAAGGCGTCGACGCCCTCGCCGGACGAGCCCTTGAAGGACTGGGTCTTCTGGCAGCTCTCGACGTCCCAGACGTTCACCGTGCCCTTCTGCGTGCCCGAAATCACCGTCTTGTCGTCGGGGTGGAAGCTCAGCGTCCACGCCTCGACGGGGCCGGCGTCGATGAAGCCGACGGGCTCCGACGACTCGGACAGGGGGTTCCAGAAGCGGAGCACGCTGTCGATGGAGCTCGTGGCGATGGTCTTGCCGTCGGAGTTGCTCACGACGGAGACGACGCCGAGCAGGTTCTTCTTGAAGGTCTTTTTTTGCTCGAGCGTGTTCGCGTCCCAGACGCTGCAGCACTCGTCGACGGAGCCCGTGACGATGTGGCCCTGCTTCGTCCAGGCGCAGGTCCAGATGCCGTCCTCGTGCGCCTCCGCCACGTGCTTCGCGACGGCCATCATGGTGCTTTTTTGTGGCAGCGCGCCGCGGGGAGCGGCGCTGCTGCTGGTTGTGTGGCGACTGCGCGCGGGCGGCTTTCGCGGTTTGGGGCGGTGCGCGACTGCTGCCGAAGAAGATGACGGCGCTGCTTGGAACTGTCGTGGGCGGCGACGCGCGTGCACGAGACGCGCAGCGGTTGCGCGCGCGCGGCGAGGCAGGCGTCGACCACGGAGAGCCCCGGCGGCCGTGCCGTCGGCTTTGCCTCCGAGACCCCCGGCGAGCGAGATCGGCGAGGCCTCGCTGCTCATCGCGTCCTAGCTCGCCCACCGTGCCGCTCCGCGTCCCGACGACCGCCGCGACGCTTAACCGAGAGATATTTGACGTCCTGCCGGCGCCCGACGACCGCGCCGCACCGCTGTGCCGACGAGCGGCGAAATTTGACGCGCGCGGGCCGCGACGCGGCGTCGCCGGCTCCTCAAACGAGCGCGGCTCCTCGCGGAGCGCGTTTCGAGTCCGGGACGCGGTCGCGGGCCGCGCCGCGGCGCCTTCCGCCGCTCGGATGCGCGGCGGTGCGCCTCCGGCCGTCTCGCGGGCGGGGCGTGCCCCCGTCGCGCGCGCGACGCGACGGCGTCGCCGACGGGCGGCTTTCGCTGCTCGGCGCGGCGCCGGCGGCCGGACGGCGGCGGTCCGCCCCTCGGTCGCGCGCGCGCGCGCTCCGATCGCTCGCGCCGACGCCCGACCGCGCCGCCCCCGCATAGGTCAAGACACCATGGCGACCATCTCCAAGAAGCGCAAGTTCGTCGCCGACGGCCTCTTCTACGCCGAGCTCAACGAGCTGCTCACGCGCGAGCTCGCCGAGGACGGCTACGCGGGCGTCGAGGTCCGCGTGACGCCGCTCCGCACGGAGATCATCATCCGCGCGACGCGGACGCAGAACGTGCTCGGCGAGAAGGGCCAACGCATCCGCGAGCTCACGTCCGTGGTGCAAAAGCGCTTCCACTTCCAGGACGGCGCCGTCGAGCTCTACGCGGAGCGCGTCGCGAACCGCGGCCTCTGCGCGCAGGCGCAGGCCGAGTCGCTCAAGTACAAGCTCCTCGGCGGCCTCGCGGTGCGCCGCGCGTGCTACGGCGTCGTCCGCTTCGTCATGGAGTCGGGCGCCAAGGGCGTCGAGGTCGTCGTCTCCGGCAAGCTGCGGGCGCAGCGCGCCAAGGCGATGAAGTTCACCGACGGCTACATGATCAAAACCGGCCACTCCAAGCGCGAGTACGTCGACAGCGCCGTGCGCCACGTGCTCATGCGCCAGGGCGTCCTCGGCGTCAAGGTGAGCATCATGCTCCCCCACGACGCGAGCGGCAAGACGGGCCCGAAGAACACGCTCGCGGACGTCGTCACGATCCTCGAGCCCAAGGAGGAGGCGCCCATGCCGGTGGCCAACTTCGAGGAGGGCATGGGCAAGGCCTACTGAGCGCGGGGCGCGCGCGCAAGCCCGGTCGTAACCAGGAATCCACCGTACGTAGTCTCGCGCCCCGGCGCGGCGCCGGAAGGCGACGTCGAGTTCGGAGGCCGCGGCGGGGTCGTCGCCGCGGCGCGCTAGAGCCGGAACTTGCGCTTGAAGGACACTTGGGCGCGGTCGGGCTTGCCCCAGGGCAACCGGACGTTGGTCGTCCAGAGGCCCGTGGTGCCGACCTCGTCCCACTCGATCTCGACGGACTTGCCCGGGTGCGCCGCGACGGAGAGCGCGGCGTCGCCGCCGAGCTTGCGCTTGTACTCGTAGGTCGACACGCCCGAGTTGAGCGCGAAGGTGTGCTTGATGGAGTTCTTGCCGTTGAAGCTGTGGTCGATGCACACGACGCTCTGGAGCGCGTCGCGGTCGGCGACGTCGGCGGAGTCGAGCGCGAGCTCGACGGACGTGTCGGACGTGAGCGCCTGGGCAGGAAAATAGTGATTCAAGTTCGCTTCAACATGAGTGTTCCGCGCGCGCGCGTTCCGGAAAAAGCATCCATGCTTCGAGACCGTCCGAGAGATGATCGCTCGTCCAAAAATCAGCCGAAACGAGTGGAAAACGGCCGAGATCGAAGCCTTTGAAGTTGGGAAGTTCGCTCTCTTTTCCTGCCCTGGTGAGCGCGAGCTTCGACTTAACGGACGAGACGCCCGTGACGAAGTTGTAGGACGGCGCGACGTTGACGTTGCGGCCCTCGACGCTGAAGTCGCGGGACGTCCGGGCGGCCGTGATGAGCGAGCTGCGCGCGGAGTTGAAGTTGACGCCGAACTTCGAGCCCAACTTCTCGTACTTGACGTCGACCTCGGCGGATTGGTCCGCGATGTTGAAGGTCCCCGTCACCTCGAGGGGGTCGCTGCCCTTGGCCGTCCAGCGCGTGAAGAGCGCCTTGGGCGCGAACTGGGCGCTGTTCTGGTCGTACGTCGCGCCGGCCGCGATCTGGTCCGAGATCCGCGTCTCGACCTCGCCCTCGAGGTTCGTCGCCTCGACGGACAAGAGGGACGCTTCCTTGATGTTCACCTGCGCGCGCGCCGAGGTTCCCCGCGAGCCCGCCGAGGACCCAGGGCGGAGGGGGGGGGGGGGGCGGCCTCCGCCCGGGTTCTGAGCTTGACGTTGACCGTCGGACGCGGGCGCCGCGCCTCGAACTTTTCGTACTTGCCCGCCGAGGCCGTACCGACGAGCGCGACGAGGGCGACGATGAGCGTGTCTGCGGGGGTCGTGGCGCGGTGCGTGGCTCGAATGAGTGGGCGGTGCGGGGGACATGGGGAGGTACGCACGCATTGTTGTGTGGAGGTGGTACGTGGGTTGGGTCGCGAGGCGGCGAGCTCTTCACTTTGCTGCGAGAAGCTTTTTGGAGCGCGCGTCGTCGCGAGAGTCCGCGGATGGTCCGGCGCGCCTGCTTTCCGCTCTCACCGGCGCATGCCTCAAGCTCGCAGCCGAAACTATAACGTTAACGCCGCAAGATCAGTACAGTTTGACTCGTTGACCAAGTTATTGAAGGGGATGCCCGACTAGTTGCATCCTTGGTGCCGCGATGGTGATGAGATAGGCAGCCCTCTTTGCTGCAATCCGGCGCCCGCGCGGCGCGACGTCGATGGCGTAGGATGCGTCGTGCATGCCGCGCGGTCGTCGCGCTCTGGGCGCTCGCGCGCTGCGGCGTCGCCCACATGCACTGCGAGCTCAACGAGACGCGCCGCTCGAAGTGCGCCACGCGGAGCCACTTCCTGGTCCTGTCGTACGCGCGGACCGGGAGCTCCTTCCTCGTGAAGATGCTCAACTCGCACAGAGAGATCTGCGCGCGCGGCGAGCTCATGCACCCGGACTGGGGCGGCGCGTGCGAGCGCGGCGACCGCGACGGCGCGTGCGGCGACGCCGTGGGCGCCGCGGCCGGCGGCGCCGTCGACGCCATGTTCTCCGGCGCGAGGGACTGGTTTCCCGCCGCGGCGGCCGACGCGGCCGCGGCGCGCGCCCTGGAGACGCTGCGGGCGACGTGGTGGCGCCGCTTCGACGGCTACCGCTTCTGCGGCACGCGGAAGTGCTGCGCCGTCGGCTTCAAGTGGTTCCCGCACACGCAGGGCGCGCGGACGTCGGCCGCCGGGGCGGCCCTCGCGGCCTGGGCCGCGTCGACGGACGTTCGCTTCGTCGTGCTCCACCGGCGCCACCTGCTGGCCCAGGTCGCGTCCTTGCAGCGGAAGAACGTCGACCACGAAGCCTCGAAAATCTACGGCGGACGAACGTACGGCGCGACCGTCGGCGCCGCGGCGCGCGCGGGCGCGAAGCCGCGGTCCCGCGCGCGGCCGCGGGCCGACGTCGCCTACCTCGGCGCGAGCTGCCGGGGCATCCTCCGGGCCCGCGCGGCCCTCGTTCGCGTCGCCGCCGCGGTGCCGCGCGACCGACTGCGCGTCGTCGCCTACGAGGACGTCGTCGGCGACGGCGCGGACGCGGTCCTCGCGGACCTCGTGGCCTTCGTCGGCGCGCGGGACACGGCGGCGTTCGAAGCTCACGACCGACCTCGTCCGCAACGGCAACGGCACGGACGGCTTCTTCGCCGACGACGCGGCCGCGGCCGCGGCGCTCCGCGCCGCGGGCTGCCCCGAGGTCGCGCCGCGGCTCCTGCCCGACGGCGACGCGCGGGAGCCCTAGGGATGAACGTGCCGACGGCTTCCGTACGTATGCTTGCGATCCTTCAACATGAGTTCAAAGTCGACCTGGCTCGCGCGCTGAGATCGGGCCGTGACGCGATGCGCTCGACACGCTCCGCAATGCGGACGGCTGTCATCCTCGTCGCGGTCGCGTCGGCCTTTGTGCCGCCGCCGATGCCGTTGCCGCAGCGTCGCATCGTCGCGCTCGACGCCAGCGTCAAGGAGCGCCTCGTCGAGGCCTTTCCCCGCACGACGAACCTGCTGCGATCCTGTCGGCGCCGCCTTCGCGCGCTCCGCGCAGCGCCGACGCCGGAAGACACAGCGGAGAGGCGCCGGCAGCTCCGAGACGCCAACGCCGGCCAGCAGGAGTGGGAGTCGGCGGCGGAGGCGCAGCGGCGTCGCGAGGCCGCTTGGACCGCGGCCGCGACGGCGCGAGTCTCCGAGGCGACGCCGATGACCGCGGAGGAGGCGCGCGGCGCGGCGGCGAAGGCCGCGGCGGACGCGGCGGAGGCACGGCAGCGCGAAGCGGCAGAAGCCAAGGCGGCCGAGGAGGCCCGGAAGCGCGAAGCCGCGGCGGCGAAGGCGGCCGAAGAGCAAGCCGCCGCGACGAAGGCTGCCGAAGAGAAGGCCGCCGCGGCGAAGGCTGCCGAAGAGAAGACCGCGGCGGCGAAGGCGGCCGAAGAGCAAGCCGCCGCGGTGAAGGCTGCCGAAGAGAAGGCCGCCGCGGCGAAGGCTGCCGAAGAGAAGGCCGCGGCGGCGAAGGCTGCCGAAGAGGAAGCCGCGGCGGCGAAGGCGGCCGAAGAGAAGGCCGCCGCGGTGAAGGCGGCCGAAGAGGAGGCCGCGGCGAAGGCGGCCGAAGAGCAGGCCGCGGCGGCGAAGGCGGCGGAAGAGCAGGCCGCCGCGGCGAAGGCGGCGGAAGAGCAGGCCGCCGCGGCGAAGGCGGCCGAAGAGCAAGCCGCGTCGGCGAAGGCGGCCGAAGAGCAGGCCGCCGCGGCGAAGGCGGCCGAAGAGAAGGCGAAGGCGGCCGAAGAGCAGGCCGCGGCGGCGAAGGCGGCGAAAGAGCAGGCCGCGGCGGCGAAGGCGGCGGAAGAGCAAGCCGCCGCGGCGAAGGCGGCCGAGGAGGCGCGACGAGAGGAAGATGCGAAAGCGCTGGAAGCGGAGCTCGAACGGAACGAGGCCGCGAAGCAGGCCATCGAAGAAGCGCGGCAGCGCGAGGCGGCGGCCAAGGCCGAGCTCGAGCAACTCGAGCGCGAAGAAGCGCGAGCCATCGAGGAAGCGTCGCTCGACGCGGCCGCCGTCGCGGCCGCGGAGAAGCTCATCGACGAGCTCGATTTGCTCGGGGGCGGCGCGGCGCCCGCGCCGCCGACACGCGCGCCCTCGGCGACGAAGCCGCCGCCGACGCCGCTCGAGGCGATCGGGCAGAAGGCCGCGGGCGCCGCGGGCGACCTGACGACGGTCGCGGCGAGCGCCGTCGGCCGGGGCGCGACGGCCGTCGGCCGCGTGGCGACGGATCTGGTGAAGGAGGCCGCGGCGGACGCCGCGAAGAAGGCCGCCGCGGAGGCGGAGCGCGCGCGCGCGAAGCGCGCCGAGGCGGCCGCGAGCGTCGCGGAGCAGCGGCGGCTCGCGGCGGCGGCGCGGCGCGAGGAACAACGCGCGGCCGCGGCGAAGGCGGCGGGCGACGCGGCCCGGGCCGCGGCGGCGCGGGCCGCGGCGGTGCCGGGCGACGTGCTCAAGAAGGCCGTCGTCGCGCCCCTCGCGGAGTCCGCCGGAACCGTCGTCGAGGGGGCCAGGGACCTGCCGCGGAAGCTCGTCGTCGAGGCCTTCGCGAAGCCCGCCAAGTCCGCCGCCGGCGCGGCGCTGTCGTCGGCGGCGGCGGTGCCCGGCGCGCTCGCGTCGTCCGCCGCGGGCGCGCTCGGGAGCGCGGCGTCCTCGGCGGCCGAGAAGGCGCAAAAGGGCGCGGCGGACGCCGTCAAGGGCGCCGCAGACCGCGCGCGCGCGGGCGCCGCGGACGCCGTCAAGAGCGCGGCGGACGACGCCCTGGCCGCGGCGGCCGCGGTGCCCGGCGCCGTCGCGGCGTCGGCGGCGGACGCGCTCGGGAGCGCCGCGGCGTCCGCGGCCGACAAGGCCCGCGAGTCCGCCGCGGCGTCGATCCGGGGCCTCAACCCCTTCGCGCGGCCGTCGAAGCCGTCGCCCGTCGTGACGCCCAAGGCGAAGGCGCCGCCGAGGCCGACGCCGCCGCCGGACGAGCTCGCGAAACTCAAGCGGGCCTGCACGGACAAGTGCATCGTCCTCGTCGACCAGGGCGTCATCACGCAGGAGGAGGTCGCCGAGTACTACGAGGGCTTCCTCAAGCAGGAACTGGACGCGTGGCGG